CTTAAAAAGAGAGTACCTACAGTTGTGGTACTAACAAAAGACAGCATCTACTCTGTTTGAATTATTACATGAAATGAAAATAAGGTGATGCAAATAAGAGCATCTTCTTGCTCTTGTGATTGTTTAATTTACCACACTGCCAAGAGTTCCTTTATTCTGTTCTTGGGTCCTCTAGATCCCCCAACCAGTATCAAGAGCCCTGCCTAGAACTTCAGCTTCTCTCTTCTCTTTCAAAGATTTTGTTTGCCCCAATTTTTACCTTCCATTTGACCTATTCATGTTTTATCTCTGAATATGATATGAATATTCCTCAAAATACTTCTTGATGGCCTAAAACATTTTTCTTCAAGCTTGGGCTTTCTTGTTTCCCACTATTTTGCCATAACCAATTCTCAGACTAGAGTTTTAGACAACAGATTATAGTTTTATGGTGAGATTCAATAAATTGAAGACAAGCAATGCTTCAGGAACTCTCATAGAAGTTTGTATGCAAAGTTCAAATGACATGAGTTGCTGAGATGCTACAGAGAAATCAAACAAGGAAATTACTAATTTAATAACTTGAATATACTGGAGAAAATGAAAATTTTATCTTAGAAATTTGATTTTTTTTTTCTCAGGAACATTATTATAAAAATTTGATAATAACTTTCCTTGCAGTAGAGCTCTGCTGATATTCTGTTACTTTCCACTGATTTAGATAAATAGGGAGAACGTTAACTTTTCCAGGCCACTTAAGAACTCTAGAGTCTGGAACATCCTGGAGAATAATAATTTCCTGTAAATTTTTCTAGTTTATGATCTGCTTAATAGTACTGTACAAAACATCAAAATGTTGTCGGGAAAAGCTTCTTCACTGTAGTCCAAGACTTTAATGATCTTCAGTCAGCACAGTTTTCAACTGAGATCCTGTAATCCTATGCAGTAAACCTTCTTTGTTTTTGTTCCATTAAAGATAATGATGAGCACATCATCTATTTTTCATCTGCCAGCTGTAAACTAATACATGCTAATCATTTAAAACATTATTTATTGTATAGTGCCAAAGCAATACCAACCATTTCCTAAAGGAACTTATTCACAGTTGTAACTCATTACCTTGGTGTAATAATTTGGCTGCTTCTGTCTCACTGTTAAATTATATAAATTGTATAACTTTCATTTATCATACTTTTGGAAAAGCAAAAAGATTGAATGACTTTAAAAGTAAACTCCCGTGGTAGGTCAATTATTACTTTGATTTGAGTGTTTTGGGGAACTGTATACATAAGATATTATGTTCTAAGTGTATTCAAAATATGTCCTTCTGAAGTTTTACTTATAAATTTTTTTCTATTATTTCTTGCTTTCCAAATTTCTTATTCTGTTTATCATGTGCCTATTTGTAATAGGAACTTGAGCTATATCCCAAAGGTAAACATGCTCAGTTGCTAAAAATAGAGAAATACACTTGGTGCAAGCCTTGTGGAGGCAGCAAAGTCATCATCAAACTAGAGCTCTTAGCTAATTTGTAGTCTTTCTTTACTTAAACTAATCCATTCAGTGTCTTTTCATTTAGACCTGCTGCTTTAGGTGCTGGAAGTGAACAACTGCTGTGTGCTAAGCATGCTATTGGGTATTTTGAATATGTTATTTCTCTTACCCCTCACAAGAACTCCTAAAATTACATTGATCCTTATTTTACTGGTGAAAAAAACTAAACCTTAGATTTTAAATTAATGAAATCTTTATGAAATCTTTGACTCTTAGGTGCTAAGAGAGTTACAAAGACAAGGAGGGTATTATTCTGGCTTTTCAGAGCTTATATTCTAATAGAAGTTTTGAAAATTAAATATGAATAGACACACACCTATAACAAAAGGTAGCTTGTGACGAATTATATAAAGGCATAAAACTGTAGTATGTGGAATATTATTTTTCTTTAAATTTTGCTTATCCAAAATTTTAGCTCAGCAAACTAAATTATCTGAGAGGTCTTAGCCAAAGATATGTGCTATGTATACCATATGTGTTTAAGAAAAAAAATTCTCAAGCCTTTGGCTGGCCTGTCTATACCTATGAATTATAGCATCAGGATCAAAAGCCTTGATGACCTAAAGAGACAAAGGCTAGAATGTGCAAAGTCAGAATCCTAACTACTAAAATATAAAAGTCAGATAAGCAGTCAGGATTCATATACTAAGATTGAGAATTAGCAGTTCCCTGTGAGGAGATGCGATATAAGTGACCCAGCCAAATGGGAACGGTAAGGCCTAAGGACATAGCAAGAGTCAGTCAGAACATTTGGTTTAATATTTCATTTGCTGTATAAATATGTTTTCTGAAATGAATCTCTTATACATAGAAATAATTGTATTTTTATTGTAGTTTAGAGCAGTTTTAAAATAATAAACTTCCTGTTGGGTATTTTACCTGATATTTCTTTTGGTAGATATATTCCTGGAATTGATACTAAGCCAGGATTCAGCTGCTATGTAATCATCATCATTGTCATCATCTCTCATTTATTAAACACTTCTTAGGTGTCCAATGTTGTGCAAAGTTCATTATGTGCATTATCTCATTTCATCCTTGCAGCGAACCTGGGAATTGGGTGTGATTGTTCTCCATATTTTAACAAATAAAAAACTGGAACTCATAAATGCAATTGGCCCAGGATCACAAACCTAATAATTTACATAACCAGGATTCATACCAGTAATTCAGTGTCATTCCAGAGCATGCACTCTTAATGATTACATTTACCCTTAGTACTTCTTGAGTTAAAAGTATGGCTTATCATTTGAATTTAGATAATATAATAATCCCATGAGTAAAAACAAAGAAAAAAATTGCTTTTCTATTCAATGATAAATAAATGATCTTATTTTTTAAAGATATAAATAGCAATATGCTCCTCTTTTTTTATTATAAATTATAAGAATAAGAAAGATTAAAAAAAGAATAAGAAAGATAAAGTTCCACCAATACAATATAGTATCCATTGAACAATTTAATAATATTGAAAAGTTTCTTATTGTCCATTTTTAATATATATGAAGTATCCCAAAAATATATAAAGAAAATGAAATACTTCCATTTGAGATCAAATTTACTTTTAATAAATTTCATGGAAAAAATCCATATATGTGTGTATCCAGCATTATTTATGCTAGCCAGTATACTGGTTATTTGTGTGTGGATGTGTGTATATATATTTATTTTTAATACACTGGCTTACATAGATAATGTTGGATCCATCCATTGAAATGCTATTCTGGGCAATGACGAAACCATTGTCATTTAAAGTAAATTGTTTTCATTATTTTAAAATGACTTTAGTTTGAAAAAACAATATCATGGACTGAATGCTCTCTAAATAAATGCATTGTGAATAAATAGTCTTTCTTTTAAAATCAAATATAATAGTCCTATTTACATAGATATTTCCTGGGAAAAAGACAATGATTTTTTAAGGAATTTTACTCTATTTTTTTATAATCAAGAATTCCAACAAAGTCAAAAGTTAGAGTGGATTTAGAAAGGCCATATTTCACCTAATTTATATATTTCAGATAAAGGATTTGATTATAACATTTTGTGGACCTTCGAAATAATTCTTATATTTTACCTTTAGAAATGGAACAGTTTTTAACTCAAAAATATTTAACAGAATACTGGGAGAGATGAGGAGGGTTGAGGGGGAGAAACAGATCATTTGAATTGATCTAATTAATGTTTATGCTATACACTATTGCCATTCAACTTGCTTTACCAATGTATTTTTATCTAGCTAATATTTTCAGTGAATTGTTACTCATATAGGATTATTTATTAGGTAATGATTATTCAAGTCCCAGTAAATGGTTTGCCTAAGATAATCATCATTATAATGATTTGTTAAATTTGCCCGTATCTATGGTTTAAAAACTCTCCATTATGAAATTCACCAGGTAAGAATTTTTACCATTATGTTTAAGTAGATATTAACAAAGAAAAATCCATTAGCAGATAGTCTCTTAGCCCAATAATAGCCATCAGGTAATAATAGTACAGTAATAATACTGGCTGCATTATTTTATATTATGCCATATACCAGGCATGTATTATTTTTGATTTTCAAAACAATGCTGCAAGGATCAAAACAATGCTGCAAGGAACAAAACAATGCTGCAAGGAGGATATTATTTTCCCTATTATTTTATAAACAGGATTTTAAAGGTGGAATAATTGCTCAAGTTTACCCAGCTAGAAATAGTTTTCCTTACTCCAGGTTTTCAAGACCTCAAAATCTATCCTTTTTTTACATTCCATATATCATCAACATAAAGCCTCTATGATGGTTTTCAGTTTACCAGAATATTTGAACACCCTGTACCCTGGCTGTGCCAGATAATCATCTGATTATTTCAATTTCAGGAAGTTTGAATTATCATAAATAATAATGACTTTTTCTAGCATTTCTAGGATTCATCAAAATTCCAGCAACCACTCAGAAATTAAACTTTCTCTTTTTTCTTGGCCTTTCTTTAAAAAGTTAGTGTTTTAATAATTAGATTTTTTATTACCTCTAGGTTTTCACTGAAGCATAATGGATTTAAGAGAAAATTTTTGCTACTAAAATTGGTTTTCATAAGTTACAGTGGCAACTTCATCATGCTTTAAAAAAATTTTATTCAAAAATTTTAAAAAATTTGCTTCCTAATATTAAGCCAAATATTTATTTCCCAGATTTTACCTAAATATTCTTCCCTGAGGCCATTGCTCTTGTGAAACTGTTTTAATGGCCTTCATTGGGGTGTGGTGAAAATGCTCTAATTGACTTTGCTGAAGACAAGGGTTTCATATAAATTGAATTTTTCTTTTAGGATAATTGCCATTCACTTTTGTTTTATATGCAACTGAGTGGGGTTTTGCAGTATCCTCTGTGGACAATTGAAGTGCTGAAATAGGAGAAGCGAATAATTGCTTTGTGTGGTAATACTGACAACTTCTGCGTGTTTGTCAATCTGTGTTAACAGTATCGATCAGGATGGGATCCTCATAGAGGGGCAGATAATATTTCCACTAAATCTTCGGACAGTGACGTAAGTGACATATCTGCGGTTTCCAGGACTAGTAGTGCTTCTCGTTTCAGCAGCACAAGCTACATGTCTGTCCAATCAGAGCGGCCAAGAGGAAACAAGAAAATCAGGTGAGTAGGGGGACTTTAAGAAGGAAATTCTAAATATGTTTTAGAATATCTCTATTTTTCTTTGGATAAATGTAAAATCCTTTCCTTCTAAATGGTTAATATATATCATGAAGAGAATAAACAACTTCTGTGATTACTTTTTATTATATTTTGGTCTACATTTCATACTTTTTTGCACAGAAAAGTTTTATAGAACTTATAATAATTCTCTTACTAGATTATTTGAAATAGTATCATTAGGTATTTTTCATGTTTGTTATTGAAAAAGTAATTCTGTTGTTGTATTTTTACTGAGATTAAAGGGATGGTTAAATGAAGACTTGAATGTTTTTAACATTCTGGGGAATATGAAAAATCATATTGGAAGGTGTTTTTTCCTAGATGAACACATTTCAATGATTAAGAAAACACAACATTACTTTTTTAGTAGGATGCTCTCTTGTCCTCCTGAAACTTTTATAAATGCATGGAAGTTTCTCCAAAAAATTTATAAATGTATGTTAGTATAATTTTCATTTGTCACCTCATCCATAGACTTTATGGGCACCTAAGCTAAATTAGTTGTTTTTTGTTTTTTTTTTTAACTCCTGTTGGATCAAAACAAAACAAAAATCAGTAATGGGGAAACCACAACTTTTTTCCAGGTAACTTGGTAACATAACAGGAAAACACAACTTAAAAAAGCAATTTTGATTTAACTGTTGCTTACATAGTGCTTCTCTGTTATATACTGGAAAAAAAGTTTTCAGTGTTTAAAAGATGTAATTTTTATCTATGTTTTAGTAATTTTCATTACTTTTCTATTTAATTTTGTATGTATTTTTTTTCTTAACATTGTCTTTCTTTTTTTGTGTTTGTTTGCATGCCTTCAATTTGTGTTGCTTTCAAAAGGCCGAAGGGACTAGAAGAGGGAGGGAAAGAAGGGGATGAGCATGAAGAGATAGTTCATGCGGAGGAAGAGGTGAAGGAGGAAAGAACTAAGGAGAGAGAGAAAGGGAAAGACAGTGCAAACATGTGTAATAAGGAGGAAAAGAGAGAATCGGGAGAGGAGGAAAGAACACCAGATACACCTGAGCCAGGGAAAGAAAAAGAACAGTGGAATAAAGAGGATTTGCAAAAGCAGTTCTCGCAAGATGATGACAGGTAAAATTTGCTTATTTTTGTAGACATTTCCCATTAGCTATAGCCTTTCTCCTACTCCTATTTTGCCATTTGCATTTGGTTTATTTTCTTGCATTTTATCTATTTAGCTTCTAATACAACTAATTAATGTGTTGACAAGTTACTATCCAACAGATTGATTTATTACCAGTCTTCAGTTTGTATACACTAGCTTTGAGTATGATTTAATTGGGTTTTTAAATTCTTTTTGACTAGGTAAATCTAAAGTAAATTTCCCTTTCCTTTTTTTTTTTTTTTTTAGCGTGAATTACTATATATCTTCCCAATTTGTAGAGTCAAAAATCTTTAAAATGAGGTTCTGAAGGGGCTGGGAAAGTGTAGCCTGCTCTACAAGAAATATTATACACTAGAAATGAACTTTTAAATGAGTGGCAAATTAGGTAGCAAAAAGTAAGCTTTATTCTGTCCTCGAATAAAGGAAAAAACAAACCCTTTGTCTTATAGTTTTCTGGTGGGTTCTAGTGCAGTTTTAATTCCTGAGGAAGATTGTGAAGAACAGTGTTCTTTGATCCTTTAAAAAGAAAGGATAGTGGGCCTCAGGGCTTGTTAGAAGGCAAACATGTTGGGTTAGAAATTCATTCGGCTAGAAAACTGCCAGAGAAGGAACTTTGAACAGGGAAAAAATGGAAAAAACATAACAGCAAGGCATAAAACCAAGTATGTTTTCATTTCATGATGCAATGCATTAGGAAGTATGAATACATTCTCACAGTGCTGTACTGAAATTCACATCAGCACAAGTACACAGTAGACCTCATCTTTCTGCCTGAGGAGATGAGATTCTCTAGCTACATTTCTCTGAGACTAAGAGTTGCAAAGCATGTACCGTTTGGAGGAATTTGGTTTTCTAGTAGCCAATTCAGAATTTGATTTTGTATTCTTATGAAGTTGGCATAATAAGCACACCCTATTACAAGCCAAATTTTGCTTTATTATATATAAATTCAATCTCAATTTATGCTTCACTCAAAATTAATGAGAAAATAATCATAATAAATGTTTACTCCCTTGGCATACAATTCAGTGGTCTAATTCTATGACACTTCACTTTTTGTCTCAGTTTGCTATATTTAACTATCTGTGGTCTATGAAGGTTTCTATGTAACAGAACCTAAAAGTTAATTTTAAGTTAGGCATATTTTGTGACTCCAATCTAAACTAGTAATTTCAAGTCTATTTTCTTTGTTTACATTGCTTTATTAATGAAGACTATTTTTCTGACTTATTTCTGACTTATAGGGTCATTTCATCATTAATTCACAGAGAATAGTTTTCCAAAATTTCCTTGGAAAGAGACACAGAGCTTCCTTTCTTTAAAAAACAGAGCAAAATGCGGGCCTCTATTGTGTTTTCCTTTCTTTAAATTGTGTAAAGGAGAACATATACCCTTGGTGTGTGCCTGTTGCCAAAGTCTATGTCAGCATATCTGTCTTGGTGGGGAGAAGTTTGGAGGTTATAATTTTAAGTTCTTGATTTTTAATGTTAATTTCTTCTTGATAAAAGAACATTATTTTATACAGGAAAGAAAAGGATGGTATATTCCTAGCAATGAGTCTTTTAAAGCACTGTGCTCTGCTTAAATATAACTATGTAATACTTGCAGAACTGGAAACTACACAGGGCCAGGCTGATGTCTTTAGGGAACATATATTCCATAAGATGGCAAAAAGTATCAACTGCAATTATTTGTGAGAAAATGTTGGTGTCACTAATTAATTTTTGCAGCGTAAGATCCTGAATTACCTTTCACATCTCAGAATAAAATGAGAAATCTTTATTCCAAGAGAAAATATGTCTGAGTACTGCTAGTGGCATTTTGTTTTGGTAGCTGATGAACATAATCATGGATTATTTAAATGACAAAAACAACTTAATATGCTTGTGCCACATTATTGGAAGTACTCTTATTCTATAGTACACCATTGATATTTACTTGTAATCCAAGTTTTGTAAAAGAAAAATTTCTGACTTCAGAGTTTAATATCTATAGCAATGCTGGTATATTTAAAATTAGCACAGTAACTGCAATGAACCAAATCCATTATAGTTGCTATTTTCATTATAGTGATAGGATCTCATTGTTGTGACACAAAATTATATTGTTTGTGTTATAGTAACCGTAGTCAAGTAGGTCTTTTGAATGTACAAGTAGAAAGTGAATAGCAAAGAGTAAATTTTTTTAAAAATCCATTAAATATTTGAATATAATATTTTTCAAAGTAGCTTAGTAGATAATACACTCATATTTAGCTATTTGTATTTCCACACAGGTATATTGGTCTGGTTAAATATCCATCTATCATTAATGATTGTCTAGCAATCATTTCTAGAAAATCTGATTTACCATTTAAAATATTTTTCTCAGTCTGTGTACCTGGATATGCTTTAAATGTTATATCTATTTACACTGATTATGCTGATTATATACCATATATATATGTGGTAGGCTATCCCGGAAAAAAGTTTCCAGAGGTAATGAAAAATCATTCAATGAACCAATGTTTATTTAGAAAATTTCTCAGGCAGTGTACTTTGAACTGGGAATAAAAGTGAAATCAAGCAGTTCTAAATTTCTAAGTCTGAAGGTCAAGCAATTTCTTAGCCTTGCGTGGATGGATGTTTAAGGATAGCTCCATATCCCAAAAATTTTCATCAAGAAACATAAATAAATTCACAAGGATATTTGATGAAAGAATTTGGCATAAGAAGTAGATCTTAAGTAAATCTGCAGTGGAAGATAGAAAAATAAATATTGAAAAGTATAGTATTGTCAAAACTAACAACACTGATAGCTTTGTGATCAAATTACTCATCCAGTCCTCCAGATTCTGTTCTGGGCATATAAGACCAAAGAAAAAATAATTCAAGAAACTCGTTCATCTACAAATTTGTGTAGATAGCCAAATAAGATATCCTGAACCTCAACAGATTGCCTGCTCCTCAAATCTTCTCATATTTTTGTTTTACTCAGCTTTCTTTTAATAGAAATGTTATAGTTTATAGTTGTGTAAAAACTTTATGGCTTCATTGTTGTAAAATGGATTCAAGGTCTTAGGTAAAAGTGAAACATTCACACAAAGATTCATGGTAATGAAGACTACACAGAAAGCCTTGAGAATTTGTATTTATCTGATATTTAGCAAATTTTTATGCTTTACATGCTTACAGAAGAGTCAATTTAAATGATCATTTGTAAGACCAAAATATGAATTAAAAGTTTCAAAAATTAAAAAAAAAATGAGTTCTCAGGCATGTGTAAAAGTGGTGTGTATATTTTCTCTTTCTGAAGAAAATATTCTTGAGGTAGGAAAAGTTTTCAAAGGAAAAATATGGCATCAGTTCAAATATTCATGAATAACTGTTTTTAGGAGTCTTAAGCCATCTAAATTATCTAGCAAAAAAAGTTCTTATAGTCTTTAAAAGGAAAAGCAGAATAATTGTTAATGAAATATTTACTACTGCTAACTTATAGATCAGAGTTCCAGATCAGAGTTAAAATGTGGTAACACATTTTCCTGACTAAGTGATATAAGTTGATGTTACCACATACTTACTCATATGTTATTGACCTTTAAAGGGGAAACAGTATGTCTTATGAAAATAATTATGGATTAGGAATCTAAAATACCTGTTTTCTCATTCTGATTCTGTTACGTGTCCCTAGCCACTTTGCCTGGCTTTTTTCACTTGTCAAATAAATGAATGAATTATTCACACTCCTTCTCGTTGTTTAGATGAGTGTATTACACAGCAAAGGAAAAGTAAGCATCTTCTGTTATACCAATGATTTGTCTTTATCATGAATTCAAGAAATAATT